GCCTTAGCCACTTGAGCCACAGGCGCCGAGCCTAGCCACCTGTTTTTTTCTCAATAAAGTTTTATTGGACTACAGTTACCCAATTAATTATTTCTTTTCTTTTTTTTTTTTAATTTTTTTGCAGTTTTTGGCCAGGGCCAGGTTTGAACCCACCACCTCCGTATATGGGGCCGGCACCCTACTCCTTGAGCCACAGGCGCCACCCATTCATTACTTATTTTTTTTGGCTATTTCCCAGTACGACAGCAGAGTTCAGGAGGACAAAGATCTTGTACCTGGCAAACCTAAACAGATTTATTATGAACCATTAAAGAAGAAGTTTGCCAACCCTACAACATAGGGCTCTTCACTGTCTTCACTTCCCACAGTCCTGCTTTCCTCACACTGCCTCTCTTTGCCCCCAGTGACTCCCTAGGCCTTTAAACAACCATTGAAGGGTAAATCGAGCCTCTCTTTGTCTTCAGGACCGTCCTTCACCAAACTTATTCCCACAGACCCTAGTTGGTGGTGCCTCTTGCCTTTCCTCTCAACCTTTGGCTCTCCTCACCTGTTATCTGTGTCATTGTCTGCCACGACATGTATGTCCCCCATGTTTGTCACATGGTTCTGTTTCCACTTCACAACTTTTCTCCTTAAGAGGAAATGATGGGGATTTAATGCAGAAACCTTTGTAATTGTGCTATATTTTTGGTTGTATTTCCTATTGATGGTCATACTTTGGTTGTATTTCCTATTGATGGTCATATGGTCATCCTTTTTCCACTTTGGTTGTCAATATTATATTGCTCCTAACCATACTCTATACCTCAGTCCTTAGCAATACAGTTATATGACATGCAACATAGTTACATGACAACAAATGAGCAAGATCATATTGTTTTTTTAAGAACCTTTCAAGGCTCCCAATATCAAATTTTATAGCATGGTACTTGAGAACATCTATAATCCAACTTACATTTTATCTTTAACACTAAGTACAACCTTCCACATAGACTGTTTTAAGGCGCAACAAACGATTCATTGCTTGCCCAGTAATTGGGCAACTCACTGATGATTGGTTCACTTTAGCAGTGATGGAGCACTATACCTGAGCATGCTAAGCCCCTCCAGCAGGGAAGCTTGCTGAGGCCAACGGAGGAGACAGCCCGCCCTGTATCACAGTAATTCTGATGAATTTGCATTTGCAAGTAGCAACGGACTGCCAAAAGTTAGTGAGCATTACAGAAAAACTAAGAGCCTGAAAAAAGGTAGTATGCAAAATAAATGATCTGCAGGGAACAGTTCCTCAGAGACATTCCGGAATATATTACATTTACACAACAAAGTCAAACTAGTAAGAAACAAGGACAGTAGGGCGGGAAAGAGTTCTCGGAAATTACAATTCCCAAAAGTTGTGGTCAGTGGGAGAACTGCCCTTTAGAACAACTGAATAGCACAATGGAAATTGTTGAAAATCAGGTTTGTGATTGAGAAGCACAAATTAAGAAGTTCCTTATGAAAATAACTCAGGAGATATTTCAAAAGAAGAAAATAATGATGGACAAGCAATATTCAAAGGAATAATATTACCTCAAGCAAAGAACAGAATTTTATAAGCCTACAAATTATAAACATAAGTATCGAGAAAGAAGCACCTACCTGCACAAATCCAGTTATTTATTTTTTGTTTTCCTAACTCAAGGATGAAGACATTTCTGTAAGCTTCTGAACAGGAATGGGGTGAAAATGGCTACTTATAATCTCCTTTCTTGCCCAAATTAATGCCATTGTCCTACTCAAAAATAAAGATTACAAATAGACAGTAGAACAATAATTATAGAATTCTTATGAACAAGGAATGTGAATGGAGTCACTTTCCACCCAAAGTTCATTCAAATTTGAAGACAACACACTTTGAGTCATGAGGAGACCTAACACATTCCATGTGTGTACCCCTTCTGAAGGACATACACGATCTAGTCCAGAAAACAAAACTCAGGAAAAGGAATAGACTCTAGACAAATACCATAACAAATATAAAAAACAGTATTTTAATATGTCTATTATTAACTTTTATCAGTCCAGTTTTTTAAAAGACAACTCAATGGAGAAGTAGACAAAGAATGTGAACAATTTATAAAAAAAACTACACATGGCCAGTGACTATCATTAGTAATTAAAGAAATGTAAATCAGCTAGAAATACATGTATTGACATGGTTATAAAAAATGTAACTGTAAAATAATATGTTGAGATCCTACTTTTTAAAAATGTTACATGTGTGAATGTTTGAATTTTCATAGAAAATAATCAGAGAAGAAAACATACCAAATTGTTACTAGGTGTTGGATCTGGAGTAGAGTAAGAATTCAAAACAAGCATTATATACTTTATATAAGCATGAAAATTTAGCATTTTGGGCGGCACCTGTGGCTTAGTGGGTACGGTGCCAGCCCCATATACCAAGGGTGATGGGTTCAAACCTGGCCCTGGCCAAACTGCAACCGAAAACAGCCGGGCGTTGTGGCGAGCGCCTGTAGTCCTAGCTACTCAGGAGGCTGAGGCAAGAGAATCACCTAAGCCCAGGAGTTGGGGGTTTCTGTGAACTGTGTGACACCATGGCACTCTACTGAGGGCCCTGAAGTGAGACTCTGTCTCTTAAAAAAAAAAAAAAAGAAAGAAAAATTAGCATTTTACTCACCCTTCACGTCTGTCTCACACCCCCTTATTGGGTTATTAGGGTGCCTTCCGAGTCAAAGTTGCCCTGAGTTTCTGCTGTGGAACCTCTTACTGTTTTGCTTTCTGCTCTTGTTTATGTTTTTCCTTAGTGTATTTGAGAGTCCTTATTTTGTCTTTTCCAAAATGAATGAAGTTTTGTATCTTAGTTATGATAAAGCTTTGTTGTTATATAGCTTGTATGCTAACCCAGTACACTATTTTTGCAATTTTTATAGAAAAAATCCAGACTATGCTGTTGATTAGTATAATAAAATGGGCATCTACTATTGGTTCCCTTATGTCCACCGTGGAATTTTTTAACCATGTAAATGCTTTCCTGAGCTAGATACATGCCTAGGTGAAATGAAAGTCAAATGGTGCATCAATCAAATGTTTAAGAGTCAAAGTGTGGGGGTATCCATGATGGGAAAGATAAGTATGTGCTTTTATATTTATATTAAACACTTTTAAATATTTTTTTCTCTAAGTTTGGAATAGTTGATGCTGATGGATATTTAAGTTTGTATCAAACAAACTGGAAGTGTTGTCCAGTTACTGGAAGCATGCCTAAGCCATACCTGGTAAGCCAAAAATTCCTCCTACTTTTATATAAAATTTGAAGTTTTATCTTAAAGAAGCAACAATATGAATTTGAGGCAAAAAATATGAAAGCCAATAAATAGAATCTTCTGCTATGTACCCAATTACTTTACTGTTCTCATGGAACCTTTGGTTAAACAAAAGCAAAGGGCTATTTGAGGGAGCATGATGTATGCAGCCTACTTAAATGGTTCAGGAAAAGTGTGTGTGTACGTCTATGAAAGAGGAGAGGGCTCGGCACCTGTGGTTCAAGTGGCTAAGGCGCCAGCCACATACACCTAAGGTGGCGAGTTTGAATCCAGCCCAGGCCTATCTAACAACAATGATGGCTGCAACCAAAAAATAGCTGGGCGTTGTGGTGGGCCTCTGTGGTCCCAGCTACTTGGAAGGCTGAGGCAGGAGACTCGCTTGAGCCCAGGAGTTGGAGGTTGCTGTGAGCTGTGATGCCACTGCACTCTACCCAGGGGGACAGCTTGAGGCTCCGTCTCAAAAAAAGAGAAAGAAAGAGAAGGAGAGACAAAACAAATCTGATAAATTCTTTAAAATTGCTGAATGTGGATAAAAGTTATATGAAAGTTCTTTGTTTTTTGTTACAACTTTTCTAAAGTTCAGAGGGACAAAAGACACAAAGATTTTCAAAAGCTATCAGCTGTATGATCACTTGTTGAACAATACATCTACCTAGGTAAAAAGTGAAAGCAATAACATTAATTGTTTGTAACTATTCCAGACATGGCAGTGTCATAACAAAACAGCAAATGATTTTGTCTTCGTTAGTTCCTCCTCTTTGATAGCCACTGCTGGTCTTTCAACAGACAATAGGTAAGAAATAATAGCTGAGACTAAAGTATGTGTATGTATGGCTGAACTTTTTTTATTGCTTTATGTCCTTATGTCTCAAGAATGTTTTTATTAACTATGCCATTAGGTATCGTATTTTTATTGTAAAGACTCATTTTTGCTGCCTTGAAATTCTGATGCCTTGAAATTCCATTAAAAAATAAAATCCATTTTTTCTATATTTTTAATATTCCAATGTCCAGTTTTTAAGACAGTAAAGAAAAGGATTTGGTTGTTAGTGGAAGAAACGTTTCTCTATATTATTTCCTGTGTGTTAAAGTTTGAGGCAAAAAAAGAAACTAATATTTATTGGCCATGTTATTTAATTAATTCGGTTAATCCTCACTGTGGCCCTATTACCAGTTTGTTGCAAACATAATTGCAGTTTTGGACCATGAATTTTAAATCGCTATAACTAGGTTTAAACACATCTTTACTAATCAAAATAGGAGCCATTACAATCAACACATCATTGCCAATGAGAAGAAAGTTTGTTTATTCCTGTAGCATAAAAATCCGTGCTTCAGGATTTGACAAACTAGAAAAGTGCTTACCTGGATGGAGCTGGAACATATTCTTCTTAGCAAAGGGTCTCAAGAAGGGAAAAAAAAATATCCAGTGTACTCAATACTACTATGAAATCAATATATAATCATCTACACATTTATACGAATGGTAAAACATAACTATAGTCTAGAAAGTAGAAGAGAAGAGGAAAAAGAGGAGGGGAGGGTATTGGGGGACACCTCACCTAATGTGCATGATGTAATAGTACATTGCAAAACTATTAAGAAAAGAGTATAATTGTGATAGATGTATTAATCAATTCAATGTAAGCATTTCACATTGTATGTCAAAGCAGTACACTGAACCCTATAAATGCATGAATGTACACAGTTGTGATTTATTAAAAAAATAAATAAAATGATGTATAACATAACCATATTAAAGAATGTATTCCAGTATCAAATGGCAAATTTCAACAATGTAAAAACTGCAGTTACTTTTCCATCAACCTAACTAGATAGATATCGCTGTTTCACAGTAAGTAAACAGGAAACTCAGGAAGTCTTGTCAGTTGTACAGTAGCTAGTGACACACCCCTCACACACATCCTCCCTAAAGAAAAGCTAAGTTTGCAAGAAAGTGTCACCCCCTGCTTCCATCTCCTCATCCAGTTCTTGACTTTCCTCATACAACTGAGTTCTGACGTTAAAGATTGCTGAGCTTTTATATTTATCAGGAAGGCGGCCTCGCTTTGTGCCAATAACAGGACTGTAAAAGTATGCATTCTTCAGCTCCTCTTCCATAGAAATTTCTTCCATACATTGGTGTATAGTAGAAGTAAGTTTTCTTTGTGCTAAAGAAAATTCAGTGTCTCCTGATACCTATATATGTTAGTCCAAATGTTAGAGAATCAGTGAATATAAAAACTGGTCTCCATATTCAGGCTTCATATAGTGCTATTTGTAAATGTACATTAATCTAAAAGTTATTCATTTTCTAAACTAGTAGTTTTTAAATTTTCTATAAAATTTTACCATATGTAAACTTGTTGCTTCCTTGTATCTGGTGCTTTTATAAATTTCGCTCTGTGAGAGCAAGGTTCAATTAAAATGTTATATAATTATGTGAGACATACTTAATTTTTTGTTCTGTTGCTAACTCATGTGTCACTCAGGAAGTAATCTTTTTTTTCTTCCAGAAACATATGTTTGTGGGATACTCTTGTAGCACCCACCAATAGTTTAGTCCATGGTAAGTTTTGAAAGCATTTATAAATTTTGTAAGTTAACAAACCCATAAACTGAAAATGATTTTTAAGTGGATTTGTTTTTAATGACATATTTATTAGCCTGTGAGGTTTATTTTGTCTGTGTTGGCAGAATTTGCAGAATAGATGTAATATACGTAACTAGTGCTTCGTTATGCCTTGGTGAGGTCTATAGGACAGATAGTACAAAAATCATCATTGCGAACATCAGTTATCATTTCGTATTATGTCCCCACTCACCACTCCTGTTCAGCATTGTACTGGAGATCCTAGCTAGCTAAGACAAGAAAATGAATAAAGGTATATAGATTGGATTGTAAAGGAAAAAAACGATCTCTATTGTTGAAAGGTGACATGATTGTGTAGACTATCCCCCCAAAAAGTACAAAATAAACTGTTGGAGCTAATGTGCAAATATAGCACAGTCAGAGGATACAAGGTCACTGTACAGGTGATTCTTGAACAAGGCAGAAGGTAGAAACACTGACCTCTGTGAAGTCAATATCCACATATAACTTTTGACTCTCCAAAAACTTAACTATAAGCAGTCCCCAGGTTATGAATGAGACAGGTTCTGCAGGTTTGGTTTTTTTTTTTTTTTTTTTTTGACACAGGTCTTACTGTGTTGTCTTGGATAGACCATGCCATCATAGCTCACAGCAACCTCAAACTCTTGGGCTTGAGCAGTCCTCTTGCCTGTTTTCCGAGTAGCTGGGACTACAGGTGCCCACCACTACATCTGGCTGGTTTTTCAATTTTTAGTAGAGATCAGGCTGGTTTTAAACTCCTGAGCTCAAGCAATCCACCTGCCTCAGGACTCCTAGAGCACTAGGATTATAGGCATGAGCCACCTTGCCCAGCCTTGTAGACTTGTTCTTAAGATGAATTTGTCTGTAAATTGAAACAGGTACATTTACCTATTCCCTGTAATAGCCTGTGTTCATAAGAGCAAGTTGTACTTCAGTCAGTGTTTGTAACTCAGAGACTTAACTGTCATAGCCTCCATTTGTAAGTGCAAGTTGTGTGTAATTGGATGTTTGTAACTAAGGGAGTGCCGGTTCTAAAGCATACTGTTGACTAGAAGTTTAATCAATAATATAAACAGAGCAATTAGCACATACTCTGTACTACTGTATTCTTACAATAATGTGAGCTAGAGAAGAGTGAATATTAAGAAAATCCTAAGGAGAAGAAAATACATTTACAGTATGGTACTACATTTATTGATGTTGTAAGTTTATGTTTTCTGTTTGCCAGATGAATTGTCTGCAGTGTCAGGCAGACATTTTATAGGTTTTGATAAGTTTTGATTTTATAATAGATTTGGGTACCTTTTATGGTGGTAAATAATAGAATAATATCTACATATATTTTATGAATTCATGACATACTTTTTTCTTAATTATATTTCTAGGCTATGTAGTGTATGTGCAAGTTATTTCAAATTGTCTCAAATCTTCAAACACTTTTCCAATATATTATTTGAAAAAAATCCACATACAAGTGGACCCATGCATTTCAAATCTGAATTGTTCAAAGGTTAAGTGTCCAAAACTTAGTTGCTTTCTGATGTACCAAAAATGAACAATTACAATTTGAAGTTTTTTCAAAAATCATCCTTTCAAACAGTATCCAAAATGCTGAAATATTGAGGCATAATCTAACACAGTGGTTCTCAACCTGTGGGTCGTGACCCACAGGAACTATATTAAAGGGCTGTGGCATTAGGAAGGTTGAGAACCACTAATCTCACAAAATATGTATAGGGTCTGTATATAGAAAACTATAAAAATGATGAAAAAAATTGAAGAAGATCTAGGCTGGGCATGGTGGGTCACACCTGTAATCCTAGCACTCTGGGAGGCTGAGGCAGGTGGATTGCTTGAGCTCACAAATTTGAGACCAGCTTGAGCAAAAGTGAGACCTCATCTCTACTAAAAATGAAAAACTGAGGCAGGAGTATCACTTGAGCCCAGGAGTTGAAGGCTGCAGTCAGCTATGATTGTGCCACCTCACCACAGCTTGGGTGACAGAGTGAGACCCCTATCTCTAAAGAAAACAAACAAACAAAAAAACCGCACATATGTAAAAAGATGAACCTAGATACAGACCTTACCTAAGGTCAGTTACCAAAAGTTACCTGAAAATGGATCATAAACTTACATGGAAAACGCAAAATGATAAAACATCTAGAAAGAAACATAGGAGAAAATCTAGATGACTTGGGTTTGGTGGTGCATTTTTAGATATAGCACCAAAAGCATGATCCATGAGAGAAATGAGGGATCCAGGAATGTTTAAATAGTAGCCAAAAGCTAGAAAAAAACCCGATGTCCAACAGAAAACAGGTATGTTTATGTAATAAGATACTATTCATCAATAGAGTAGCACGACTGACTGATTTGTGGGAGGAGGTTGGTTAACTTCTCAGTCATCACCCTGAAGGAAAGAAGCCGGGCACAAAGAGTGTACACCGTGACATTTCATTCCTGATGAAAGCGGATTGACAACAAAGGGATGTGAGCAAACTTTCAGGGATGATGAAAGTATCTCTATCTCGTTCTTAGTGGTGTATCCATTTGTCAAAGCCCATGAGGGTGTACTAAAAATCATGCATCTGGGAAAGTTCCATCTCACAGTGATGGAAAATTTCAAAAATCTTTTCTCCATAATTAGTTTCACTTAGTCACATGTTCACATGAGGATGCATTTCATTGAGTCCTTAGTATTTGCTATGTACTGTATGTGCTCTGCTTATATAAACTAACTGAGTCCTAACACAAGCCTATTAGGCAGGTGATATTATCTCCTCTTTTACAAATGGTAAAACTGAGACTTACATAGATAATTTACCTCAGGTACACGTTTAAACCCAAACAGGACTTAAATCTAGGCAGGCTAACTCCAGAATCCTCCCTCTTCATTATGCCATATTCTCTTTGAGCTGTGTGTAAATGGTTCTTTTCCCTGAAATTAGTTAGGATGGACTTTTTAAAGAAAGATATTAATTGTATTTTTATATTTCTGATATTTTGCTGCTGTGTCTTCAGACTCACTAATCTTTTCTTTTGCCATGTTTAATCTGCTATTACTCCTACCCAGTTTATGTTTCATCATATTTTTAATCTCTGAAATTTTGATTGCATCTTTTCTATCCCTAATTGGCTTACCCAGCTTCTTGAACATATGAAATACAGCTACAATGACTTCATCTCCTTATCTACTAATTCTCTCATCTGTGCCATTTCTGAGTTAATTTCACTTGATGAATTTCTTTTCTTTATAGATTATATTTTCCTGCTTCTTCGTATTTCTTATAAATATTAGAGGGCAGACATTGTGAATTTTACCTTTATTGGTGATTTTTTTTTGAGACAGAGTCCCAATCTATCAGCCTGGGTAGAGTGCTGTGGTGTCATCACAGATCACAGCAACCTCAAACTCAAGGGCATAAGCGATGCTCTTGCCACAGCCTCCTAAATTGCTGGGGTTGCAGGTGCCCACCACAGTGCAAGACTATTTTTAGAGATGGGGTCTCATTCTTGCTCAGGCTAGTCTTGAATCTGTGAGTATTCTTGAAGCTTGTTCTGGAGCAAAACTAAATTACTTGGAAATAGTCAAATTTGGGGGTCTTTTGTTAAAACAGGACTAAAGCAACATTTGATCTAGGAATGATTTTGCCTCCCTACTTAGGCAACCAGAAATCCTCTCCCCAGTGCCTTGTGAATTAGGAAATTTTCCACTATGGCTGGTTCAGATAGATTCCCCTCCTTATTGGCATGGCCAGAAAACTCTCTCTCTAGAATAAGCAAGGGCACTTGTATGACGCACCCAGTTTGTTTCCCATCTCTCAGCTCATTCTTTTTCTTTGCCTGATATCTAATGTTTCTAATCATTGTTTTTTTCTTTTTCTTTTTCTTCTGATACATAGTGTTGCTCTTTTGGCCCAGCCACAATGTACTGCAACCTCAAACTCCTAGGCTCAAGCGGTCTTCCTGCCTCATTCTCCTGAGAGGCTGGGACCACAAGTCCCTACCACCTTGCCCAGCTAATTTTTTCTGTTTTTCACAGAGACAGGTTCTCACTCTTGCTCAGGATGGTCTCAAACTCCCGATGTCTAGCAATTCTCTCGCCTCAGCCTTTCAGAGGGCTAGGATTACAGGCAGGAGCCACCGCACACAGCCCTGTTCCTTATATTTCATTTAATTTTTCAATTGTTTCAGGCTAGAGAGTAAGTCTGGTTTATTATTTCATGTTGGCCAAAAGCCAGAAGTCTGCTTCTTTATTGTTAAATTTCTGTGTTGTTTTTAACTTTCAGCTTTTACCTGTCATGATAGTGGAGCCACAGTTTTAGCATATGCTCCAAAACATCAGCTACTAATATCAGGAGGCAGAAAAGGTTTTACGTGTGTATTTGACCTTCACCAACGGCAACAGAGGCAGCTTTTCCAGAGCCATGATTCGCCAGTTAAAGCCATTGCTATTGATCCAACTGAAGAGTACTTTGTTACAGGATCTGCTGAAGGCAGCATAAAGGTAAATACAGTTGATGCTACAATATCTACGAAATGAAAGAGTCTTCAGAAGCCTCAGGTCTATTGATGATACCAGTCTATTTAAATGTAATAATAACTTCTTTGTAGTCAATAGTGCTCATTGCTATTTAATCTTTCAATGAATAATACTTAAAAATTTTCTGTTTTTCAACTGTTTTTAAACATGCTTAACTCATGCTAAAGAACTTAATTTCTGTGGATATAGACATATTTCAGGCATTAAAATTAGTCTTGACTCCATATTCAGAGTGACATGATTTACTGAATTTAATTTTCAGGTGCTGAGAAATGTACTGACATTTTCTCTTCCTACATTACTGCCCATTTTTTCATATATAATGTCATTACCCAGCCACTTGGTGCCTAATTCTAGAATTCTAAATGTGTCTTGATGAGCCCTGCCTATAGCAGTCTTTTTGCTAAAACTTGGAGAGGCTGTTCTATTTATTTATTTATTTATTTATTTATTT